ATTGCATGGTACTTGAGGGAGGAAAAGTTTTAGTTTAGTTTTTTTTACAAGTAGAAATAGATATAGATATAGACAAGTATATACTTATATGTGCCTACATTTGCCTATATATGATGTCTTCTTCTTCGTGCCCTTTTGCGTGAAGATAAAGCAGAACCGTGAAGAAAAAGCCGGAAATGCGGGTTTCCAACTGCCATCGGACGTAAACTTATGTAAACGTGTTCGCGACAAACTGAAGAAGAAATACGGATCGTATCGTCGTCGAGGGTCACGTCGACCACCTTCGCGATACCTTCCTATATATACCTATCTTCGATTAAAAGCTCCCTTCTTCGTTTCTTTGCTTACAGTTTTCGTTAAACAAACAGGTGATTTTCATGAACATATAATAATGACATTTGAAATGTAAAGATTTATGTATATAACGTATATAAACGACGTCCTCCTCCAAATTATTCTATAAATATGTTAACGATCTACGGTTAGGATCTATAAAATGCAAATTAGAAACTTCCATCGTATATTGAATTGGAAATAAACCACAAATCCTTCTAACGTAGCACAAGCCAGACTGGTTAGGATGTGCAACCCGTTTAACGACGAATAACCAACGTTGAATATTACTTACTCTATGCTCATGTTACTATATACCAACGCTAAGATTCACGTGCATGCACCAATGCAATCGAGCAATGCTAATTAATCAGGCGTTAGTTTCACGGAGATTTCACGCAGTAGATAAAACCGCGAGATCCGTGTTAACAAGTGAAATATACCCAGTGGACGGATTTCGAAGGGAGAATCACGACATCCGCTTTTCTCTCCACGATCGCACACAGAGAATCATTCATTTTCAACAATCTCTATAACTATGCTTGTATACTTTGCTTATATTAATGCTCCGGGGTAAGATAATGAAACTACATCGAGTTTACGCACGCACGCGTACTCGACTAATTTTCAAACTTATTATTCTCAAAAATATCCTTTGACATACGCGATCGACTTCATTTTGTTTAATAGAAACAAACACTTTCACGAAAATGATGCATGTGTATGCACGGTTCGTTAGATTGAATAATTGAGAGGAAAGAAAAGTAGTCTTATGTTAGATGATAATGATGAAAACGATAGCGAGAAAAAGTCGTTTGGGGTTCAACTAAATGCGTTATAATTCACGAGCGCGTCTGTGAAATCTTGTGTTAGTCTTATGTTATGTTATAGCAGTACGTCACGCTCAAACTAAAACGCATAACACACACACACACACACAAAGGAACGTTAGATGCATCCACGAGTAACCGAGAAGTACGCTCGTTTCTAAATGTTCCCACGTATTACCAGGTCAATATACTTTTTAAACGCGAGTACCGTACGGTCACCTCAACCCGTGGATAATCTACAACCTTCACGGCCTTTCGACGTCACGCTCTCGTCTCTCCAGAGAGAGAGAGAGAGAGAGAGAGAGAGAGAGAGAGAAAGAGAAAAAGTGATAAACTTGTGAAATCCAGGTTACGCAATCTCCGTCAAATACGCATGTAATCGATAGCTTAGAAATATCTAATTCAATGGTGTCGTCTACCTTATTTGCATCATAAAGATGAATACAAAATAATAACCTTATTACCAATCTTTTTTTAATAAAATTACAAAGAAAAATATAATAGACAAGATTTAATAATATTTTTGAAATTGCTCGAAACTGGAAACTCTGATGCACTCGAGAGAGAGAGAGAGAGGGAGGGAGAAAGAAAGGTCTTTAATTCGAACAACCTAAAGAAGCATATTATTTAAGAACATAAAATAAAAGTAGAAAAAAATGTGTCTCATTTAACGAAGCTTGGAACGTTTACGACGAGAGCATAAACGTTTTCGCTTTAAGCTGCAATTACAATACGATAACGCCAATTATACTAATTACGAATCTCGTTTACGTTGAACCGATTGTCCGGCCAGGCGGATACTCGCGATTATTCCGAGAGGATATCGTTCTTAGACGATCCAGATGCATATCGGTAGGAAGTAAAAGGAGTAAAAGGAGTCAAAGGAGAAGGAGGATGACTGTTTTAAAGCACAGTACACACAACTACTATTGGACTCGTACATATATTTATATGTACTTTATACAATATATACTTAGGATTTCGATGAAAGAAAAATGAGCGTCATCCGGTAACGGATATGTTCGACACGTAGGATATTGTGTAGAAATGAATTCAATAAAGAAGATAAAGAAGAGAAAGAAGCCTTATATTATATACTATATACCTATTACGTAATTCAAGACCCAATGGTCTTTTACGCAACTCGTAAAAGGTGTTCCACGAGCCTATTGTCGCGCCGAGTGACAGAATAATATGTCGGTCATATAGCAATGTTATACAACGCATCTAAATCCATACTCGTGACATATTACAATTACATCACTTACCAAAGAGATTGCATCTGTAATCGTGGATTATTATGACCGGTTAGACGTTCGAACACAAGCCACGAGTCACGAAGTTAGAAAACTTTTATGCTCGATGCGAGATCGTCTTAACTGTGCGTATTGTGCAATAATATTTGAGTCTCCGTTTAGTCTCCGTTTAGTCTCCGTTTAGTCTCCGTTTAGTCTCCGTTTGGTCTCCGTTTAAGCTACGTTGGCTTATTACTCAAATTTTATGCTCTCTCTTCCATAGATTTATATGTTTCAACGTTTATTTCAAAATAGACAACATTTTTCTCTATCCAAAGTAGTACACAGTTGATGGAAATAGATTTAAGAAGAAAAATGTCATAACAATGGACATAGACAAAAGATAATAGTTGAAAAGTTAAAGAGGAGTCGCCGCATGCGTTTAATCGCACCAGAACGCGCGTCCTGGGTGTTGGAGGTTAGGTAACGGTGCAACAGCAGCAGCAGCAGCAGCAGCAGCCAGGTAGCAGACACGAAGGCGACTGAGAGTCGAGACGCGAAAGAGAAAGATGAAGATAGACACAGGATTGCCCGTAGATATACAGAAAGAAAGATAAAGAGAGAAAGAGAATGTTGCAAGCCTGGAGAACTATACGTCATTCCAGATATGTGTATACTAAATTGCCTTGCTCGCAAGAGAGACAGAAGAAGGAAAAAAAAAACAAAAAGAAAAGAGAAAAGAAGAAAAGGAATTGGTCGGTTAACCGGCTACAGTGTATTCCGCCTAGCCCAGATTTCGAATCGTTTTGGTTGTGTTAGTAGCGGGAGAAAGACATAGGGTGGGTGGGTGGAGACAACGGCGACGGGGTGACGCTCGTGACCCGCTTGTTCTGAACCCGGAGATTCCTCTCCTTTTATCCGGCAAGGAGATCGTACAGAGCACGTGGCTACCTACGACCTCGAACTAAAAGAAAGAGAGAGAAAAGGGTTATCTTTCCAACGAGAAACTCGACCAAATTCCTTCGACCTTCCGTGGTTGACCGTTTAAACGACTCTCTCTCTCTCTCTCTCTCTCTCCCTTTTTTATTATTTTCTTTCTTCTTCCTTTTCTCATGAACCAAGCAACTAAACGAAATCATCGATCTATCGTTCAAAGAGGTTCTAACGAGCGTGAAAATTGAGAGATACTTATGGTTAGAAAAGACTTTCAAGGGAAAGCGAAAGCTTCAACGTTGTATTCTATTCTCTTTAGAGATCAGCTCTGATCTTGAGATCCGGAAGTTTCTCCTTTTGTAAGTTTTAGAACGGGGAGGAGAGGTTGAACATTCCAAATCGTCGTCGTCGTCGTCGTCGTCGTCGTCTGTCGATGAAATCGAGACAATAACATAACGATGACCTGCCGTGAGCCCTGGAAGATGATTTAACGATAAAACTATGCATTCACCTATGCACTCTCCTGTGTATATATGGAAGGAAGACTGTCCAATTAAGTGCAGGTAGGTCGGTGCACGTAGAGATACTTCCAACCCCTCCTTTACTTCTTCCTCCTTTTACTCCTCCTCCTTCTCTTCTGTGGCCGGTGCTATCACGAGCCAACTTCGAGCGTAAAACCACATGGAATCCCTATCCCTTGTTTCTCCACCATCCTACTTAATTATACCCGCGAGCAATGTATATTCCCGTACATATACGTAATTGCGGACAATATTCATGAACCTCGGCACGTCTTAACGACGATATTGCTCTTTTGTTATCTCCGCACTTACTTACATTCCCGACCGGAATGAAAACTAGCCGTGATCAGGTAAAACTTGATAAGCCACGAAGTTAATCAAATTTCTACACTTTCTTTATACGGACTTACGGAATACAGCTTTATGCGCATCACGGTACTTTACTAAGGAAATGTCTACCAAATTCCCTACTAGGTCGGTAATATAAAAATGTGATATATACCTAAGGAGGAGGTGGAGGAGGAGGAGGAGGAGGAGGAGCCCACCTGCAAACTAAATTCTTAACTGAAATTCGACACCTTCTCCTGTTCATCTACAAACTCTCCCTTCGTCATAAAAGTTTGCTTCTTTTTATTACGAAATGGGAAGTTCAAAGCATATATCGAGACGTTTCTTGGTGGATAGATGGTATATGTATAGGATGTAAACCGAGAAGCAATAAGAACGAACCGAGCAGACCCTTTCAATGTGGAGCCAACGCGTCATTTCTAAGACCACCTGGTAAGCGCACGACTTTTCTATATTATATTTAATATATATATATATATATATATGTACATGCGTGTAAGCTATATGGATATACTACTCGTGTTCATCTCTTAGAATATAGAGATTTCAAAAAACAACTAGATAAATTTAAGTATTTTTATATTAATAAAAACGACTACATTTTCTGAGAAAATCAATCAGCCCAGTTACGTCTTCGGTTGACCAATACAAGAAAAGAAAAACAGAAATCATAGAAAAATCGCGACGTCCTAATGGCTCAGGAATCTTCTCTCCACGAATGCCGAAGACATAAAGAAGAAGAAGAAGAACGAACGAACAAATAACATAGCTGCCGCGCCGTTAAGGTCGGCTATAAATAAAGAAGATCGATGTTTCTCAAATCTGTTGCTCTCCTCTTTTTCTGTTAGTGCCGTTTGTCGTAGAAAACGTTAACCAAAGATAAAATGAGTTTTTAAGATGGAACGATGAAATCCAGCAAAAAAATCGTCTCGCCACCTACGTTTTATACCTTCGACATGAAAGAGAAATTTGACGATTCGATGATTCCACCCTTATACGGACGGTTCGCACGACCTCGAAGATTCTTAGAGGCTTACACGACGATTTGCATGACTCGAATGCCGGTTTACGAGGCGTGCCCGCTCTTTCGAACTTTAGCAACGTTTGGTAGGTATGCGCTTTCCGCTTGCTTCACAGTTCTTTCGTTCTTTAGGAATCTCAAAGCGCAAAACCAAGTAACGGATTCTAACCGACGAAAAACTATTTCCTATTGTTCGCGCCTTTTAACAACCTGGAGATATAAGAGAAAAAATATATGTACAGCGAATGAAAGAGTTGTTACGTGTCGGGTTCAAGGGCGTAACACAGGACGCAACACGAGTTAGACTCCTTATACGGTAAATCATTCAGGAATTTATCTATTATTTCTGAAAATAAAATTTTATTAGAAAAAGAAAATGAAGCAAATAGTGTGAAATTAGTTTTTAAAATAGCAAGTTCTATGAAAGTAAATTGAAAGATTTGAACGGCAGAATTGAGAGCGATCTTTTCAATTTGATCTCTAACCTTGATAACTTATGGAAATCTGTAGTAGATAAAAATGCTAGGTAAAAACTATGGGAATTCGATCATCCCGTAGCGCAATTATTATTACTTCTCGTAACGGCACTTTCTTACGCAGGATAAGCGATGGTTCAACGTGTGTTTCGAACGGCAATTTCATTGCCGCGATAATAATGGCCCCTTAGGACTCCTACCTACCTATGGATGAGATTGGCTCTTAATTGCATAGAGATATATATCTTCATTTAGATCGCGGACAATCGCACTACAAAGTCGTGCCTCGAGCCAATCTCTTGTCCTTTTAAAACATGTGCACGTAAGTAAGTACTTACTTAGGCATGGATAATAGTATGATACAATGAGATGCATTAACGATCTCTACTAAACAAAAAAATCCATACACTTCTTTTATTTATCCATTATTATATCACTTAATTATGATATCAAACGTATCAAACCTAAAAAATACTTCAATAATTTGTATCGAATGAACGAGTAGCATCAACGCGAGTTTGTGATAAAAAAAAAAAAAAAAAAAAAAAAACATGTAGAATGGAAAGTTCGTTAAAATGAAGTGGGTTTGACGCCATAGGGTATTATTAAAGCACTTTATTACCTACATTCTTGGAGACTCACGTAACCATGCTATATGATTTACGAATAAACCATGAATCAGAAACGAATCCTCTATGCGTTTGAAGCTGGGAAACAATGAGAAAGGTGACGCATTAGGAGGATTCAAAGTAAATGCGACCGACTGACTAGCGGTAAGTTTAGCGACGGTCATGCGACTCCGTGAAATCAACTCTACGACGAAATACAGTATATTCTTGAACTCTGCCTGACACTCTAGGTACGTGTCAACGAAATGCAATTTATGTGTTATGAGGGGTACAATGTCTTAACGTAACGGAAATAATTTGCGGTTTTAGAGATGAGATACGTTAGATACGCTGATCCCGGACAGACAGGCAGAATAAGTAGGTTTGTATGAAGGTGTCGGCAAATTACCTAAGAATAATTTTCCTTTTAAAAACTATTTGATTTATCTACTAATTGTAAAAAAATATTCTTTTTTGTTGCTCTGGAAAGAAAGGCGTTGGTGTCATCGTTGGTCTCGTCGAGGACAATCCAAAGATAACTCGTATAAACTTGGATAAACTTTGATGCACGCAGCACCGTAACACACCCACTATTTCTCTCTAACCACTAATGGGGAATTACCTGTTCCTGTTCGAGTTTACAGAAAGCTATAACCGGGGATCGTCCTAAGAACACCACAGGGCGTGCGAACTTAGCCTTCGTTCCGACCTGTGTGAGGGCCACACATCGCATCGACAGACTCGATCGTCGACGCGTGCACGGCTGCCGTGTGCGCTTGCCCACATCGCTCCTGTAATTATAGGATAGATAGATGCACGCAGGTTGTTGAAATTATCATCGACTTTACTTTTTTATTATTTATCAAAGCGATCAACGTATTCGTCTTCCCTTCATTTTACGATTTGTCTATTAATATAATTGAAATATTAAACTATTTCGACCTGATACTCCAACTCAAATTCATCACTGGGCAGAAACGTTAAAACAATAATTTAACAGTTAACTGGTTAAATAAGTTGATTAAATAATCTTTTAATAATAAATAATTAGTCTTCTTATTCGTCCATTAATCAGCATAGGAACGTTTATTACAAATATATCATGAAGAAATATGTTTCATAATTATATGCATGTGTCAAGAATGATCGATAAATGTTCCGACACTCCCTAAAGATTGAAAACATGGAGAATTAAAGAAGATTATCTCGAAAGATCGCGTAAAACGACTAAATTAATGCGAGTACAAGTAACACTCGAGAGCGAGGCGCGAAATAATCGCTAAAAGCTTTTTGTTTTTTTCTTTTTGTTTTTTCTTTTTTTTTTATCGACCATTAACTGTAAAAGACTACGTTGTGGCTACTTAATTGCTAAGGACACTTAATGAGAACATTATCCGTGTAGACGTTGAGCATGGTCAACTCCTGGCTAATGACATTCTCTTCGACTCGACTCGACTCGTCCTCTAACACCACAACAGCTGCCGAGTCTATCGAACAATTAATCGACCGATCACGATCCTTCTTTTCCTTTCATCTTTTAGTACATGATTCAATTTTTGCACATTATTTCTTTATTATATAATATATCAAATAATTATATAGAATTTGTTGAAAAAAGTCTAAGTAAAATTATAACATCGAGAGTGGAAGAAAAAATAGAAAAGAAAGAGGAGATTGCGCGGACATCATTGTAACTGGAAAGGAAAGTCCAGAGGCGGAAGTCGAAAGAAAAAGAGTGCAAACGTAAGCATTTTTAAAGAAAAAAGAAAGAAAAGCAAGAAATGCTAATGGGTAGGAGAGAAAAAAGATGAAAAAACGGAATAAAGTTTTGAAGAAGAAAGAGAAGAAAAATACAAGAAATAGTCGGAAGAGGAGGCCTCCTCACGATGTAACACCGTGGGAGTCGGCGGCCTCGTTTCACGGTTTCTTCTCCGTGAAAGTGATCCGATATTATAAGAGCACTCGCGCGAGTCGCTATTAGTCCTCCTCATGGCTATTCATTCTGCTTCATAGATCTCGAGATCGTGCACGGATAGATCACGGTCGTTTGTTCGGCACGACTTGCGTTGTCCTGTACAAGTTTCTTTGATTTTTTTGATTTTTTTGATTTTTATTTCCTATTTTTTTTTACCTTTCCTTCCTTTCTCATCTTGCGTAACAGCAATGGACTGTCGAGTAATGAGGCGGAAGTTTGGTTTCATTTCAATTTCAAAATTGATGATGCGAGATGAGAAAAGGAAATAGGACCGGAGAAAGATCAAATGTCGAACGCACGATGACGCCAAATCTGTTAGATCTTTTATATTATGATTTGTGTGTGTGTGTGTGTGTGTGTGTGTGTGTGTGTGTGTGTGTGTGTGTGGTTGTCTAACAAAAACTATGTATACAATAAATACTTTGAATCAAGAAAAATATAAAATATCGTGAGAATAAAATAAAGCAATACACATTTAGGAATGTGAGACTGTAGTGATAGCGAGAAAATAAGTAACAAGGGGTTAACGATTTTTGAACCGCGAAGGGAAGGATTATCATGTGCCGTGTCAGAAACTATTATAAAGTTAAGAGTAAGAAGAATTAAAAGGGCCCGACCTCAAATGAACGATGTTGTTTTGCTCGCTGTAGTCTGCAGCAAGTTTTACCGTTAAATGTTCGGAAAACGGTTTTGAGAATTTCACAGTAATAATACGCTCCTTCCCCTAGGGTAGCGTAAAGTTCTTTCAGGCGGGGAAGGAGAAGTTGTACGGACGCCTCAGGGCGTTCGCGCCAATAGGGGCAATGAATCATCCGGTAACGCAGTCTGTCTCGTCGTTACTTTCCTTACCGATTGGCGAACGCTGCTGCTCGAGTAAGGTCAGCCCGATCCTAAGGTCAAACGCGTTTCCACGCGAGTATTCTCGAGCTCGCGGGAATGCGATATGAACATCGATACGAACGAACGAACGAACGAACGAACAAACGAACGAACTTCCAACCGAACGTGGTCTAACAAAATAGAAGAGAAAAGAGAAGCGATCTCAGGATTTGAGTTTCCGATGGAAAGGGAGAGTAGTCGATCGTGTTCTCCTATCCAAGTGTGGTCGAGTTCGAGTTCAAGTTGGAGACTTTAACGAGAGGAAGGTACGGTGTCACTCACCGCAGAAAACGTCCTATCTCCAAGACCACAAAACAAGATTCTACTAGGATTTACGCTGTGGTCAAGACGAAGGCGTTCTCGATCGAACGAAATCCGTACGAGTACCTACATATTGTAGTTCAACTTGTCTCTGCTTTTTTACGACGATAATAAATTCTATTATTGAAACTTTATTCCTTCATTCCTAGTTGATTCCTAATATCGAGAAAATAGATATATAAACGATCGAACATTATTCAGGTAGATTCGTCATACCAAAAGCAGGATGCTTTTTTAGTATATTACATGTGAAGAAAATCGTCGGTGAATGACAGACGATTCTAACATCGATTCTCCTTTTTCTCTTTTCTTCCGTTGTTTTCTTTTTCTTTTTTACCTCTCATCGTTGAAGACCTTTAGATTATAAATTATAAGATATTAATACGTGCTGTTAATTACCGAGAGATCATTAATCTACGGTCACTCGTGTCCTATTATATTCGCGTACCTTTACCGAGAGACGATAATAATCATTATCGTCTCAAAGAGGATCGCGCGGATGGATCGATGCGTCGCGTCATACCATTTCGTAATATTCTCTCTCTCTCTCTCTCTCTCTCTCCTCTTTCTCTTGCAACGAATAAAAGGATTACAAGTACTAACTCGAATAAAATCGATCAGTAAAAGGCTCCGATTAAAATGAATTATCTAAAGTCCAAATTTCGCGGCTCGTGATCATCAATTAATCTTTGAAAATACACCTCAAACGGCAATCCTATTCAATGGTGGATTCATTATTTTAATGAAAGTAAAGAGCTATTTCTCTTTTGACTCTTTCGTGAGATCTGTTTTTATACTTTTATAGGAAATAATGTAAAAAGTACATTACTTACATTCATTTATATCATATTTATCTGTTATTATCATTTGCTCGATCCACCTGTAAAATTGCATGAAAATAAAGGAGAGGAACAAGACTTTCTAGATATTCCGTATAAGAAAGGTAGAAGGTAGCTCGAAATGCAGTAGCCGAGCAATCCTGCATTGGAATCAATGTGCTTGCCTGAAGGTAGCGACAAAGAGAGAAGAAGGACTCGGAGGACTTGGAGGGCACGCGACTCGAAGAGAAGACCCTTTCAAGGTCGCCGGCTACCGTCCACGGGATTATCCATTGGAATCCGTAAACCTTTGCTTGCTGTGTTTCAAAGAGGAAAACATAAGCTTCTTTCAGGGGGTTTCTCTCTCTCTCTCTCTCTCTCTCTCTCTCCCTAGTATGACTTGCAGCATCGAGGTCGACCAGACGAGAGGAAGCAAACGACCGCTCGAAAATTTACATTGCTTCTTCTCTTCTTGAAGATTTTATCTCTGTCATTTTTTAACCTCAAAGATATCTGTCAATTTTATTTATTTTAATCTTTTAAGTAATCCGTCATGTATACAAGTTTTGTCTTATGTTAGAATAAAAGAAAAATCTCAAGGAATTAATTGATATCTCCAATGGTAAGAAAGAAAGTCATCCATTACCTACGCGTATACCTTCTTTCGTAATAAATTGTAAAATGTGAAAAGCATAAGAAAACTCTGCTTAAAATCCAAGATGGTCGTAGGTAAGATGGTCACGGTTCGGCGACAAGAAAATGATGAAAAATAATATGGGTAGAAAATACGGTGGAACGAATTACGAAGAGGAGCGTTAAACGTAGCTCTATGTACTTTCTTAGCGATTCGCGACGCGATTTATTTGAAAGCACAGTACCCACTTTAATTTCCCCAGAACGGAAGGATTAAATTTTCAAGAAGTGAAAGATCGTATCGCGTTAGTAGATCCCTATACGGACTACTCGAGCTACTCGACAGAGACAAAATGTGCAACGACTCTTGTTGCATTGGTGGTAGAGCATTAGAATAGGGTAGATACATCCTGAGAAGCCATTGAATCTTGCCGAGTATCAACTAGCGGAGATTCGAGCACACATCCAAAGAGAAAACTTCTCCGAGTAAGAAGAAGAAACTAAAAGCATTGTTATGGAAATGTATGAAGAAGCTCCTGATGCGGTGGCTCTTATACTCGTGCCATAAATTCGACGACAAGAGACAGTCTTTACTCTCGTAAAACTTCTTTCCAAATTATTCCGGTGTCATACTAGAGTTTCCTTATTTTTTCTTCTCTTATTCCTTGTCACGCTTATCCATGAAATAAATATTTTAAATAATAAGTTCGCCTCACCGTACAAGAGATCGTCGCGGTTATTAACATCTCCAGGAGTCATCGCGTTACGTATTATATTCCATCTTCTTGATAACTGGAGTTTGCTAGGTACATACATACGAAGGTATTTGCGTGTGTGTATTTGTGTGTGTTTGTGTGTGTGTGTGTGTGTGTGTGTGCGCGCGCGCGCAAGCAAGCAAGCAAAGCAAAGTTTCCGTCGAGGAAACGATCAATCCTAATACCGGTACTCAAAACAATGGAACCGTTCTAAATTCCAGTTAGCAATCCCGTTGACCAACCAATCTCTTAGCAAAGGTATAGACTATTCGCGAGGAATTGCACAGCATTATCTTGTTGATTAAAACACCCTTTTCAAAGCTTTCAAAGAACATTGAAACAATTATTTTCTGTAATAATAATGAACAATAATTTTGAGAAAGAAAACATAC